ATGATATGATTTTTAGATACAGGAGCAAGTAATCATATGTGTGGGAAAAAGCATAGAGCTTGATGAAACTCTGCATGTCCATGTCTCTTTTTGGCGACCTCTCCAAAGCTCCAGTAAAAGGAAGAGGTAAAATTTTAATTAAGCTCGATAATGGTGGTCACAGTTATATTACTGATATTTATTATGTGCCAGATATCAAGCATAATTTATTAAGTCTAGGACAGCTCTTGGAAAAGAGATATGACATTAGTTTAAAAGATTCCCACCTAATCATCAAAGATGATCGAGGATATCCAATATTCCAAGTACGAATGTCTAAAAACAGAATGTTTGCTTTAAACATTCCTCATGACTCACCAAAATGTTTAAGTGCCATTATAAATGATAATAATTGGTTGTGGCACTTGAGACTTGGAGATTTAAGTTTTGAAGGATTAAAATTGTTGTCAAAGAAAAAGATGTTGAAGTGGTTGTCAAATATTGATCATTCGAATGAAGCTTGTGAAAGCTGTGTTCTTGGCAAGCATGCAAGAACAAATTTACAAAGGAGACAAGTTGGAGAGCAAAAAAGCCACTAGAGTTGGTCCATACAAATATATGTGGTCCGTTGAAGTCAATATTAAATGGATAAAACGGGTACTTTCTTACGTTTATTGATGACTATTGTAGAAAGACATGGGTATACTTTCTCAAGAAAAAGTCATAAGTGTTGAATGCTTTTAAAGAATTCAAGTCTAGTGTTGAAAAACAAAGTGGCTATCACATAAAGATATTGCGGTCAGATCAGGAAGAAAAATATACTTCTAATGCATTTAAAAGCTTTTGTAATTTGAACGGCATCAGACAACGGTTCACACCGACTTATACTCCCCAACTGAATGGTGTAGTTGAACGAAAGAACTGCACGGTTCTCGATATGGCGAGATGTTAAAAGATAAGAAATTATCTAAAGGATTTTGGGCTAAAACAGTTTCAACTGCAGTATATTTATTGAATCGGTGTCCTACCAAGAATGTTCGCGGACTAACACCTAAAGAGGCTTGGAGCACATATAAGCCTAGTGCAAATCACCTTCGAGCGTTTGGATGTATAGCTTATGTAAAGATCTTAGAAACAAGAAAAACTAAACTTTATGATAAAAAGGTAGAAATGTATCTTTATTGGCTATGGTGATAAGATAATAGGATACAAGTTATACAATCCCATTACAAAAGATATTATCATGAGTCGAGATGTAATCTTTGAAGAGGATAAAGCTTGGAATTAGGAGAATGCTAAAGACGTTGAGCAAGTTCATTTAATTCTTGAGCAAGAAGAATTTCAACCACCAAACAGTGGAGCAAGCGGCACACAAACAGTTGTATCTAGCTCACCCACAACATTAGAAGATTCATCATCTTCATTAGAATCATCCTCTGAAGAAGTGCCAAGAAAGATGAGAAACTTGAGGGATATTTATGATACTACTGAGCAACAAGGTGAACAATATGAATTGTTTTGTTTATTAGCTGACATGAACCACTTTCTTTTGAAGAAGCTTCAACGAATAAAAGATGGCAGAAAGCAATGGATGAAGAAATTAGTTCTATTGAGAAAAACAACGCATGGAAGCTCACTGAGTTACCTGAAGGAAAAAAGGCCATTGGAGTAAAATGGGTATACAAAATTAAAAAGAATATACAAGGCAAAATTCAGAGGTATAAAGCAAGGTTGGTTGTACAAGGTTACTCTCAAAAAAGAAATTGACTATGGAGAAATATTTGGACCCATTGCATGCATGAAAACAATTCGATTCTTGATTTCACTAGCTGCACAACATAGGTGGAAAATTTATCAGCTTGATGTCAGGACAGCATTTCTAAATGGATATCTTGAAGAAGACATATATGTGAAGCAACCACCTGGATACGTACGAAAGAGTCAACCGAATGAAGTTTATAAATTGAAAAAAAGCTCTTTATGGACTCAAGCAAGCCCAGAGCATGGAATACTTGTATTGACAATTACTTTAAAAAGAATGGATTTATGCAATGTCCGTATGAACATGCAGTGTATGTAAAACGAGAACAAGATGGAGGTATACTATTTATTTGTTTATATGTAGATGATTTGATTTTTACAGGCAACAATCCATCCATGTCTGAAGCCTTCAAAGAGAATATGATGAAAGAATTTGAGATGACTGATATTGGATTGATGGCGCACTTCTTGGGATTGAAGTTAAACAACAAGATGGAATTTTTATTTCTCAAAGTGCCTAGGTAGCAGATATTTTAAAGAAATTTGGAATGGAGAAGTGTAATCCGGTTACTACTCCAGTTGAAAGTGGACTGGAACTACGCAAAAATGAAGATGATAATATTGATCCTACATATTTTAAGAGCTTGATTGGAAGCCTTAGATATCTAAAATGCCCCAGACGGGTTATACTATATGGCGTAGGATTGATTAGCAGATACATGGAGACACCAGATCAACCCCATCTTAATGCAGCAAGAAGAATACTTCGCTATCTTAAAGGTACAATCAATGAAGGCTTACTTTACACATCTATTAATGATTTTAAGCTCACTGATTATTCAGATAGTAATTGGGAAAGAGATATAGATGAAAGGAAAACTACAACAGGATTCGTATTTTTTATTGGAGAAACTACATTCACATGGTCATCCAAAAAGCAACCAATTGTTACTTTATCCAACTGTGAAACTGAGTATGTTGCTGCAAGTTCAGCTGTATGTCATGCTATTTGGTTGCGCAATATGTTGACATATTTGGGATTCCCTCGAGAAAATTCAACTGATATTTATATTGATAACCGATCAGCAATTGTACTTGGAAAGAATCCAATCCAACGTGAAAGAAGTAAACATATAGATACACGTTTTCATTTTATTCGGGAACACATAAAGATGAAAGAAGTGGAGTTACTACCATACAGAACAAATGATCAAGCTACCATGCAGAACAAATGATCAAGTAATAGATATTTTTACCAAGCTACTTAAACATGACATGTTTACTAGACAGAAATTTATGCTTGGAATGGTCAAGTTTAAAGGGGATGTTGAAAGTTGTGTAAACTTGACCAATGAAATTCTAGAAGTAAGAAGAAATTTAAAATTATCAAGAAACTTTAGAAGTATGAAGATGAATATATGACCTAGTCAAAATTCTACTTGATTAAGCAAAAGTGTTTTATTGGATAGAAGAATATTACATGCTTAAGAAAAAGCTCGTGATTAATCGATAGCTATTAGAGAGTTGCTTAATCATCTTGAACTCTTCTTCTCTAAAGGAAATAGAAGTTACTTAATCGTTTTGAATTCTTCTTCTAATGGAGGTGGAAGTTACTTGTTCATTTTGAATACTTCTTCTACCAAAGAA